GAATCACCACAAGCTTTCAGGAAAACCAACTCCAAAGTGGTGGGAATTCCCAACAGCCCCAGGAGGACCCACCCTCCCCAGTACTCCAAGAAAAGTACCTGCTCAAAGGACAGGAAAAGCCCCACTTGCACTAGGGACCCACCTGGGGTGTACAGCCCTGAGATACAAATCAGAGTAACACGTTAAGTTGTTCTGCCCTGGAGGATGTTGTTAGCGTCTGATAATGTTTTGCTGGGTGTCCATGTCAGGACAGAAGCAGAGGACATCAGACAGTTCAGTGGGAGTGGCAGACCCAGGTTCCTGCTTGCCCAGCCCAGGCAGGGGAGGGTCCCATTGCTATGCACTGAAGTGCGTCCCCCAAAATTCATATACTGAAGCCCTAATCCCCAGGGTGATGGTGTTTGGAGGTGGGGCCTTCGGGAGGTGCCTAAGGTTACTGTGAAGTCATGAGGGTGGAGCCTCATGATGGTATTAGGGCCCTTCTGAGAAGAGACACCAGAGATCTGGCTGTGTGAGAACACAGTGGGAAGACAGCCATCAGCAAGCCAGGAAGGAAAAACCCTCATCAGCAACCACCCTTGATCTCGGACTTCCAGCCTCCAGAGTTGTGAAAAAAATCTGCTATTTAAGCCCCATCTCTGCCGTTTGTTATGGCTGCAGAGCAAGCTGAGACACCCATCTCTGCCCCCCTCGCCCTTCAAAAAACTGGAAAGCCACAAACTGCCTCCCGGATCCCAGACTGGCTTCTCAGCATGGCCAAGACCTGACCAGCACCAAATGGAGTTCCCAGAAAAGCCCGCATCTCCCAACCAACCCACTAGGCTTGCTCAGAAACTCAGAGGTCCCAATCTGGACAGACCAGTGGGCTACAGAAATAAACGTCCAGCTGGGAGATGGCAGGATGTGGCCAAAGCTCTGACCTCCCCAATGCCCCCACTTCTTAAGCCTGGGCACCCCTGGCCACTTGAGACCCCCCTGAGACTGGCAGCACCTGCTTTGTGGAGGCGTGGCAAAGTTTGGGATTGGGATAGAGCACACACGCCCACTTGTATCTGAGCTGGAGGCCTGAGTGGCCCCTTTCCCAGCACACCTGACTGACCCTCCTGGAGCCTGGACGCTGCGCATCGCCAGGCCCCCACACTGACCAGCACTGGGAGGCGCTGTGCAGGGGTCTGGCTACTCACCCTACCAGGCTCTCTCCTGGCAGAGCCTCGGACACCAGAGCATCACGGCCGTTCTGTAAGACCGACCAGCGGTCCCAGAGTCAAGGCTCCCTTCCAGTCATGCCGCAAGGGGGTGGGCGGCAAGAGACCCAGAGGGAGCCGAGCCCGCCCAGGAGCGCGGAGAGCCTGGCGGCCGCTCGTCCCCCTCTCCGGGGCACCCCAAACGCCAGTGGGACTCCACCTGGAAACCACCCGTCCTCCTAACGAAGCTGTCCTGATGCCCAAAGGTGGCAAGCACTCGAGAGCGGAGCCCTAGGTGTTTCCGAGAGGCCGATACCAAGGCGGCCTTGCCTCTCGGGGAGAGTTTTACGGGCTCTCAAACCGGCACCTCGCGGCACAGAAGTTACACCTCCACACGACTGCCCCACGGAAACAAAGTGGAGACTGTTGCAGGCCGCCGAAGTTCGGCTGCGCGCACAGAGGGACACCTCCGCCCGCTCTGCCACACGGCAGCCCTACTCGCTCGGCTTGAAGGGCAGGGCCCGGGGCCTCCGCCGGGAGAGGCCCGCGGCCCCCGGCCCCCCCCCCCCCCGCCCCCCGGCCCTCTCCCCCCCCCCCCCCCGCCTCGAGCCCTGGCCGCCGGCCCGGCCCCGCGCGCCCTCTTTACAGGCCTGGGCTGACCCTTCCAGCCCCAGACCCCGCGCTAGGGGCTGCACTGGGCCCGGTCCAGAGCGAGGTGGCCCCCGTCCCCGACCCCGACTCGACCCCGACCCCTGCCCGTCAGCCGGGGCCCGCGCCGCGCAGCGTACCGAGGCGGGGCGGCGCTCCTCAACCGGCCTCCATGCGGCTAGTCGCCCCACCGGACGGGGCGGACCGGGGCCGGGACCGGGGGCGGAGCGGCCGGACGGGCCGGGGCCGGGGGCGGGCGGCGCGCGGCATGCCGGGAAGCGCAGTTCCACGCGCCGCCCGTCCGCTCCGTCGGCGCGCTCGGTCCGCGCCGCCGGACTACACTTCCCAGGGATCCGCGCGCGAGCGCCCGCGGACTACACTTCCCAGGAGCCGTGCGCGAGGGCCCGAGGACTACACTTCCCAGGGGGCCGCGCACGAAAAGCCCCGCCCCACCCCGCTCCACTCCGACCCCGGCGCCTCTGGTTCTAGGAAGAAGGAGATTCTGGAGACGTGAGTTCGAGTCCCCGGGCCTGTGGGGGAGCCCGACGGCCTTGCAGAGCACTCTTAAGTTCTCTGACCGCAGCTCCCAGTCTGTAAAAGGGATGACGTTCCCGCGATGTCAACGGAGAGACTTTGTGTCAATCGCCCAAGGGGCAGCCTATAGCGGGATGGGAGGAGCAAAAAACTCGGGGTGTGGAGCAAGCCCACGTGCCTCTACCTGGGTTGGGGGTGCCTAGACTCCCGCGCGCCGGCGACCGGGCCATCCCTCGACTTGGTGGGTGGAGTGCCCTGGGAGGGCAGGCGCCAGGGGTCCTGCTGCCCACCAGGCTGAGACCTGGACCCCAAGCCCCGGAGGGGTGTTTAATGGGCGGTCTCAGATCGGGCGGACCCCGGCGAGCCTGGAGCCACAGACCCACTGCCGCGGAGGGGCCCCAACCGCCGTGTCTCTGGCCCCTCATCGTCCCCATTTGGTCACGTGGGCGGTGGGGGGTGGGAGGCGGACTCCCAGTAGGGTGTCCCGAGGCTACCGCCCTCTTCTCCCCACGTGGAGCGCCCCCGGCCGCCCACCCCCACTGCCTGGGCCCTGGAGGGGGCCTGGGGCCTGCTGCCCTCGCCTGGGCCCTCCTCCATTCTCGCAGGGTGGTTCTGGGGCTGGGCACCCTGCAGCTGGTGGATGTGGGGACGGCTTGCCTGCTGGCCACACGCGGACCCCCAGTCAGCTAGCTCCACTGAAGCTTGTGTCCAGCTCAGGGCCGTGGGACGACTGGCTGGCTGGGGGCCTCAGTAGCTGGAGCAGGCTGCCTGCCCTTCACTCTGGAGCCACCTGGGAGTGAGGGCACAGTCCAGTCCAGCCCCCACTGGGCCTGGACCTGCTGGGCCAATCCACCAGCGCTCGGAGCTGGGCACTGGGCCGCCCCTCAGGTTCCAGGAAGAAAGGCCCTGGCATTGGTGACTTGTAGGGGTCACAGGTTCCCGTGTTCTTCGGTGGGGTAGTCCTGGGGTCCAGCTGATGTGAGAGAGAACCCCCCGGCCACTCTTGGTACCAGGCTGGGCTGTTCGCCCGCTGAGCTCTGTATACTGGAGACTCCAGGCTGACGCTTCTGGGGCAGGCTTGCCGCCCACCTCCCTCCTACGGCTTCTTGGTCCCCGAAGGGCCCGGCTGGCCTCAGGGAGGCCTCTGTCCTCCTTGGTACGTGCTCCTCCTGTCCAGTTACTGTTCCGTCCCTCTGCGCCGGCTCAGGTCGTTTCTGCGTCCCAGCCACCTTCGCCGCCTTCTCAGGAGCAGGCACTGTGCGCCAGGCAGCGTGTGGTGGGGCCTGGCGCGAGTCTGGCTGCGAGGCCCATGCTGTGCCGGCGTGCCAGGAAGAGGCCTGGGTTCCGGTCTTGCCTGTGTGGGAGCCTCCTCTTTTCTGAGGCGGGGCCAGTTGCCCCCGGCCGCTGCAGTGCCCTGGCTACAGGGCAGGGGTGAGGAGATGAGAGGTGGGCGGGGGCTTCAGACCAACACTAGAGCTGATGGGGTGCCCTCCTGCAAGAGCGGGGCCGGATGGCGGCCCTCGGCACCTGCAGGGAGAGCTTGGCTTCGACGGGATGGTGACTTGGGCTCTTCTCTGCCCCAGCAAACCAGGGCAAGGGTTCAGCTCACGCTGACGGCACTGCGTGCGCTCCGAAGGACGGACCTCTGCGGGATGAGACTTGCTCCGCAGTGTCCCGCTGGGCGTTGGCCCCGGGGACAGGTGGCTGAGAGCCTGACAGAGCAGTCTCCTCAAAGACATGGAGGTGGCTGCGCTGGGGGCCTCCTCGGCAGGCGTGCGCTAACCGTACGCAGACGTGTGTGTGTGAACATCGCTCAGCCCGCGGTACTGGTGCTCACTGGCAGGGCGAGGGTGCACGAGACCGGCCTGCTGCCTGGCCCAGGCAGCGAACGCCTCTGCGGGGCTCTGGGGCCATCCCCACTTTGAGTGCAGCCACCGGGGCAGGGGCAGGGATGACCGGTGCAGGGCCCAGCTGAGCTCTGCACGTGGATGGGTAGGGTGGGCAGGTGAGTGTGGCCGTGGATGGCTGGGGAGGCTGGACTGGACTCCAGCCACACTCAGGGAATGGCGGGCAGCTGGGGGTGGGGGCGTGGCAAGAGCTGCGGACTTGAGCCCCCCAGGTGGGCACAGCTACCCTGCTCACAGGGTCGTGGAGCCGGTTGATGGTGCGGACCAAGGTAGGGGGGAGCTGCTGAGGGACCAGGGGCTTGTCCCCACTCTGCAGAGCTGGTCCTGTGGGCATGTGGGGTCCCTTCCCTGGACACGTGGAAATGGTGAGTGCCAACCCAAGGGGCAGTGGGCTTCACAGCCTGGGATGCTGGGCGGGAAGTGTCCTGGCTCAGGTGAGGCCGAGTGCTCTCTGGGGACAGGGTGTATTCACAATGCCTTTTCATTTTCTGATATTTTGACATTGGGCCAAGTTGACCCTGGAAGGTCGGCCCCTCCCAGGACTAATTCCTAGAAACCACAAACTCCCATGTACAAACCAGCTGACCCAGGGCCCCGGCCCACCACCCCCTCTGTGGGGCCCCCACCCTCGGGGCCTCTCTCACCTGCTCCCACCACCCAGGGCAGGTGCCCACCAGCCAGGTGAGCCCGGGTGAACCCGTGGTCGGTATTCACACAGGCCAGTCCTAAGCCTGTTCACCTGCCTTGTCCGTTCCTTCCTGCGGAAACCACAGGAATGGCTCCTGCCCTTGTCCCCCTCCCGCTCTGCCTGCTGGTGCTTCCCCCAGCGGCCCCCAGCCTGGGCACGGCGTGCCCCCTCCTCCTGGGGGAAGCTGTCTTCCCGATGGCGGCTGTCTGCTGGTCGCAGGCCTCAGCAGACCTGAGTGATGATAAAACCACACTTAAAATCCACGGAGGGATGCAGTCCCTTGTCTGTGTCCCTGTGTGATGAGCCAGCGCCAGGGAAGCTCAGCCTGCCCAGCTCAAGGCTGCCCCGGGGATTCCAGGGGCCGGGCCGGGCAGGTCTCTGGGCAGCACAGCAAGTGGGCTCACACCGGTCTCAGCCGGGCCCCCCCGGCCCCTCGCTCTAGGGCCCGCAGGTTTCTGGCCTGGCTGCCTCAGCTACCTGGCTCCAAGGAGCCTCTGTTCAGATTCTCGGGGTCCCCAGCCATGGACCGAAGGGCACGTGGGTCCATGGTGTACCCGTAAGACTAGGCTCATCCCACCTGAGTCGTGGGCCCAGTGAGGAGGGCCCCCTGCCCTGGGTCCCTGGAACATGAGGGGCACCCCCAGCAGTATCAAGGGGACCTCTTCCGGGAAGATTTTGTGGCTCTCCCTGTTCCCCCTAAGTGTACCCAACAGTCCCCTGTCCCCAAGCATCTGATGGAGGGGACAGCCTTCTGGGGGCTCCTGCCTTTGCCTCTGCTGAGCCTGTGAGCCCAGGGAGGGCAGGGCTCACCTGAACTACCCCCCAGGCCTGGAGAGCATGCCTGTCAGTCAGAGGTCATGGAAGGTCAATGGCAAGTGACCACCATGTGCTCCTGCCTCACGGTGGGCGCAGCCGGGCCCCCAAGGTGGCCTGGGGGGCAGCATCCCCTCGTGACGATGGTGGGTGGAGGGCAGCTGGCCCAGACGCGGCAAGCCCAGTCAGAGCACAGGTCTCCTGCAGGGTGGACCACACGGGACTCAGGCGGTATCAGAATAATATTTATTGATCTGCTCGGTGCTACCTTGTTAATACTGTCACGTTGTCACCGTGGCTGAGGTAATAGGGACAGACCCTCCGAGCGCCGGCCCTGGGTCCCCACGGGAAGCAGCGTGGGTCCTTGGGTGGGGGCTGGTGGCCTGGGTGGGGGGACGTGGTTATTGCGTTGGACTCCTTCCCTTGCACGCCGGCGTCCACACCAACTCAGCTCCGTGCCCACTCACGCACACATCCACTCGCACACCGTCCAGTCTCCTGATCATGTACGCTCAGTAGTTACAGTAATCATAGTAAAATAAAGTACAGGTATGTCGGGATACAAGGAGAAAGTGCATGTTGATCTGATGGAGGGTGGACCCCGGCACCTCCCACTGCAGGAGGGAGCCCTGAGCACGGCCCCTTGGGCATAGCCAGGCCTGGTGGTGTGATCACCCCCAGCTTCCTTCCAGGCTCAGGACCAGAGTTGTCCTGCCTTAGCCTGGGCCCAAGACAAAATCGACTAAAAAAATAAACTCTTCACCTCACAGCCGAGTGCCTGATGCAGGGATGGGGGGTGGGGGTGGGGGTGGCTCCAGGCCTTTCTGGCTGGGGGCTCCGCTGGGGTCAAGGCCAGCCCCTGGCCCAGCCAGCACCCCAACGATGCTGTCTTGGGGGGCGGGTGGGCCAGGTCTCAGCCCCAGGGCATGCGGACAGGAGGCCAGGAGGTGCGGGCAGTGCTGGGTGAAGCAGAGACCACATCCCCGTGGGGCTGGGGTCCGCGGCACTCCTCGGTCATGCGGAGGGCTCTGTAATGGCCCGGGCAGCCCTGTTCCTCAGAACTCCACGGTACTCACTACTGTCCTCGGCTCGTCAAAGGTGGCGATGAGGATCTGCTGGGGGGGCGGGATGGCAATGAGGCTGCCCACGTCTGGGGGAGCCCGGGGACCCCCGTCCTCCTCTTCCCGGGCTTCATACAGCGTGCTGATGTGCAGCAGCGGGTGTGTGGCATTGCGGCTCAGGATCGCGAGCGGGTCAGCTTTGCCCAGAGTGGCTGGGGACAGAGGGGCTGTGGCGGAGGCTGCTGGGGGCGAGCGGACGTGAAACGGGCCCCCGGAAGGAAGCGTGGCCCGGGCTGGCTCTGCTGGGTACAGGATCTCCTTGTCAGGGAGCGGAGCATCTGCAAACAGCCGAGAACACGGGCAGGTCACAGCCTGCGGGCCGCCCGCCCCTCCACCGCTGCTGCCCCTCTCAGACCCCGCCGGGCAGAGACTGGTCACCGAGGGCCCCGCTCCGTCGGAGGCCCCCCCGAGGCCCCGGGGAGGGCTTGATTCTCCCTCCTCCTGCCTCCTTAGCCATGTGGGGCCGCCCAAGACCCTCTCTGCACACTCCGGCCTGCTTGGGCGGAATCTCGCACTGCCTCAGGAGCAGCAGGGCCCGTTTCCAGAACCTTCTCTAGAGCCTGAACAACCTACTCTCATATCCCCCTGGGCTCTCCTGCTAGCGTTCCTCCTGTGTGCCGGGCAGCGCCCCTCATGGCCTGCCTGCCTTCTGCCCTAAGGTCGGCCCCCTGGCTGCCCACCCCCTTCTTTCCGCTAGCTGCTTCACCCCCGCACACGGTTCCCAGATGCCTGGTCTGCGGCGGACCGTGCGTGGGGCGGGGTGGGGGGGGGCGTCCTTCCCTGGGGCCGAGGGTCCCCAGCCGCCTACCTTTGGTGGGTGCTGCGGTCAAGCCCAGCGCACACTCCTCCGCCTGGGACAGGAAACCCCCTTCCTGGCTCCGGGAGGCGGGCAGGGCGGCGGCGGGCACGGCCTCGGGCTTGGCCTTCTTGGTGCCCAGGATGTAGGGGTGCACGTCCAGGGAAAAGTGGCGCGCATGCTTCTTGTCGGGCGCGGGCCCCGCGTCGCCCCCGCTGCCCTTGTAGTGGTGCGCGGCGCGCGCGCCCGCGTCCAGCAGCGGCGCGATCAGCGTGTCCGTGGCCGTCTTGCGGCGCACGGGCTTGGGCTTCTCGGCCTTGCTGTTCTCCACGCGCATGATGGCCAGTGGCTCCTTGAAGGGCTGCGGCAGCGGGTTGCTGCTGGGGATCCACTTCATCTTCTTGCGCGGCCGCTTGACGACGGGCGGCTCCGCGGCGCCGTCGGGCTCGGCCGGGTTGGCGCTGGGGTCCACGGTCTGCACGCCCGCGTCGCGCACGGTGGGCGTGGCGTCGTGGTTGGACTGGGCCAGCGCGGCCAGCAGCTGCCGCACCACGTTGTCGTACATGAGGTCGCTCTCGTTGGTGATGAAGTCCAGCCGGTTGAGCGACTTGATGTGGTCGCGGTTCTCGTTGCAGAACATGGCCAGGATGTTGATGTCGCAGAACTGGGAGCGGCGCCACTGCCGGCGCGTCTTGATGCCCACCTTGTGCAGCTTGTCGAAGATGAAGTTGCTCTTGCGGAAAATGAACAGGTGGATGAGGTTGACGAGGATGACGAGGTTCATGGCGCACAGCAGTACGATGTCCACGCCTGCCACGATGCGCTGCAGCTGCACGGACGGGAGCTTGCAGCTGACGCGCACGGCCGGGCCCCCGCCAGCCGGCCCGTCTGGGGACGCGCCCAGCGCGCACGTGAACTCGTTCTGCTTCTGGGTGGCGTAGTAGGTGCACAGGTAGGAGATGGGCGCCACGCTGAGCAGCAGGATGAGCAGGTGCCGCGCCAGGTACAGCTTGGCCAGGAAGTTGCTGCGGCCGCGGCGCTCCAGGTACTTCTCGAACAGGTTCTGCTCGGGGCTCTTCTCCTTCTCGGCGTTCTCGATTATCTCACGCCGCTCGCGCTCCGTAATGCCGGGCCCCTTGGACTGGATCTGCTTTTCGATCTTGGGGGCGCGGCCTTCGGCCGCACGGTGGTAGCAGTTGTCGATCTCCTGCAGCAGGAAGTTGAGCTCGGAGGTGAGGCGGGTGGAGGCCAGGAACTCCCAGCCCAACGCGGGCACGTACATGATGGCGGCGAAGGCCAGCAGCGAGTAGGGCAGCAGCTTGTGCTCAAACAGCGACGGCCACAGGCTGGCGTCCACGCCGGGCAGCGCGTCCCGCAGCTCCGTCCAGCAGTAGCCGCGAGCGTACAGCGCCTGGTCGCGAGTGAAGTTGTGCGGCGTGTAGCAGTAAATGGGCTCCTCTGAGGGCAGAGAGGAGACTCGGGCTGGGGCGCGGGGGTGGGGGGACGCGCCAGACATGCCAGGGACTGCTGTTCCCCAGCACAAATGCCCCGGTCGCCTACGACCCGCCGCGGTGGCTGGGGGGCTCACCCTGGAGACCCCCACATTCAGCAGCTGCCTGTGGCACAGGGTGGGGGGTACAGCCCCTCAGGGACTGCCCTGCACTTCAAACCTGGGGTCCCCCTCTGTATGCATAGGGTCTGTGTGCACGTGGGGGAAACCCAATCCCACAGGGCAGCAGGACAGGCCCCTCAGCACAGCTACCGGCCCTGGGCTGCACTGCCGGGGGCTCCATCTTTAGGAGGGTGAATGGCCCGGACCGTCCTGCCTGGCCAGAGGCAGTTATGGTGGCACAAAAGTGGGCCCTGCCTGCCCCTGAGGGGTATGGGGTGTCTCTCCCAGACCCACTGTCCTGGAGAAGGGCAGGCTGGGAGTCCTGGACGCTGGGTGGGCACGGGCAGTGACCTGGACTCTGGCAGGAACACTCACCAGGACGGCAGTGTCTGCCACTGGGAACGGTGGAGACCTCCTGAATTGCAGAAAAAAGGCTGTCACTGAACTTTATTTTCCCTCCCAGATGACGACGGGCACAAAACAACACCAAAAGGACATGTCTGGAGCCACGCTGGGGTCCACCTGCTGGGCTGTTACATTTGAACATTTCTCCAAAGGGCAACACCTGGCAGGCATGGGGCTGTCCTTGTGCGGCACTAGGCCCCCATGTTCACTGCCCCGAGGGACTGGCCACCCTGCTGCCAGGCCGGCTTGAGACCTCTCACCACACAGGTTGGGGGTCAGCGGCCCCCCTACAGCGCTGCCCACATTGCTCCTCTGGCTGGTGGGATCCTACCCCCAGACCTGGCTCATGGCCCCCACCTCCTCCCAGGGGAGGCGCAGACCTTTCCCAAAGGCGTCACGTACTAATACCCAGAACTTTACAAGACTCCGCAAGGGGGATTAGGTTAGGGCTCGGGGCGGGGGTGGGAAGGATGACCCTGGATTATCGGGTAGGGGTCCTTAGAAGAGGGAGGCGGGAGGGTCGGAGTCAAGGGTGTGAGGATGAAAGCAGAGAAGATGCCACTGTGCCAGGCTTGAAGGTGGAGGACAGACCACAAGCCAAGGACTGTGGGGTCTTTAGAAACTGGAAAAGGCAGACGACAGTCTCCCAGAGCCTCCAGAAGGAGTGAGGCCCTGCTGACCCCTAGACTTTAGCCCCATAAAACTCATTTCAGATTTCTGAGCTGCAGAGCTCTAAGAGCATAAACTTGTGTCATTGAAGCCACTAAGTTTGTGGTCACTCGTTAGAGCATCAGCCGGAAGCTAACGCAGGTGGTGGCTGGCCACTTGCTGGCTGGCTGCCTCCTCTGCCGAGACCCTTTCCTGTCCCCCTGTGCCCCCCCAGTGGTGTGAACAAACGTTCTCCCACGGTGCTGGGGGCCGAGGGGGTGGGACCCCATACACGAGGGAGGGCAAGGCCCTCAGAGGCCACAGACGAGGGTCGGGGAGACTTGGCCGCTGAGACGTGCGGCCTCCCCTCCCCAGACAGCAGTCAGCCTTGCTGGCTCCCCTGGCCCTCCGGACGTGGCACAGGCCCTGAAGCCCACGCTCAGCAGTCCTCCTGGGGCCGAGCACTTGCCCGCTCTCCTTTGCGAAAAGGGCACGCACTCTGGGGTTACCTGCGCCCCTCCAGGCTAGAGAGGCCCCCAGGTGATGTGGGGCCCAGCTATTTAAGAAAACGCTGCTGGAAGTTCCCCTGTGCGGTGGCCCAAGGACATCTGTGGAACCTGGCGACCCCACAAGGCCGGCCCCCTCTGTCCACGGCGCAGTAGGGGGGTCTGCTCACAGCAAGCCTGGCCAGGGGCCACGGGGGTCCTTCCTGCTGTCTGTGGCCCTCCAGACTGGGGGGGTTCTAGGCTAGGAAGCCAGTGCTGCCTTGTCAGCTCCTCACCCCAACCCTGGACATGGCCAACATGTGTGGCCAGCATCGTGTCCTTGACAAGCAAACCAGGGCGTAGAGTCGGGTCTCCCCTGCTCTAGGGGATCCCCAAGCAGCAAGCTCCCGGGCATTGGGCGTCCACCCCAGGCAGGGTCGGCTGGGGGGTGGTGAGTGTCGAGCCCCCGTCTCCAGGCCAGCTCCTCGCGGATGGGGCATGGATCCTTCTGGCACACGTGCCGGCCCTGTACCCGGGGCTGGGGCCTACGGATGGATGCAGACACAGCGCTGGGGGTGGGGGGATCTGGGGGGAGGGGCCTCCAGTGCCCTCTGAGGGTTAGAGCTTGTGACCTCACTTCCTTCTGGCACCCCTGCCCCACCTGAGTCGTCCCCACGTGTCAGCAGGGCCTCTCCTGGCAGTTCAGCTTGTGGACACGTGGTTCCCCCTGCACCCCTACTGTCCTCGGGCCTGGGGAGGGGCACGGGGCTCGTCCACATTCTGTGTGAAGCACCAGGAGACATCCCACTCTACAGGCCGACACAGCCACTGTCCTGCCTTGACCCCCAATCCACGTGAGCAAGAGCAGCTGCTGAAGCCCCCCCAGACCGTGAGGGGACCAAGGCAGGTGCACCCCGCTCAGCAATGGGGCCAGAGCCCACTTGACCAGCTCTTGCCAGCCCCCCTGCGTTCGGGGACCTGGAACAAGATTTCCTCGGGCACACCCAGGTGCCAAAGGCGGGCATGTTCCACGGGACGCGCTGCATGGCCCGGGATGCAGGGCAGCAGGGTCCAGCGCCTGTCTGCCACCGCTCAGAAGGTCTGCCTTGTCCATGCTCAGGAGCCCAAGTGGGCACAGGCATGTCCACGTGCAAATGCAGGTCAGCACGGGGCGGGGGGGCAGGCCTGCACAGGAAGTCCCAGGGCACCACCAGGACCAGGGATGAAGAATGAACTTGGGAGACCCCAGCCTGGCTGGGCGTGGAGCAGTGCTGAGGCTCCACTTGGGGTGAGCTGGACGCACTGGACAGCATGAGAATGGAGCCCCTGTCCCCGGGGGGGGGGGGCGGGGGTCACCTGAGGACGGCAGTCCTGAGCCTGCCCCACTGTGTGCGTCCGTAGTGGGCAGAATTGTGTCCCCCCCAAAGATGTTCAAGTCCCAACCCCTGGTTCCTGTGAATATGACCTTGTTTGTACTGTGGTCCTGAGAAGGTCGTACTGGGGGCACCCAGGAGGCTCAGTTGGTGAAGTGCCTGGGCTCCGCACTCAGCGGGGAGCCTGCTTGGGATGCTCTCTCTCCCTCTCCCACCCCCCCTCGCTGCGCGTGCACTCACTCTCTCTCTCAAATAAACAAATCTTAAAAAAGCAAAACAAAACAGATAAGGTCACACTGGAGTAGGGTGGCCCCAACCCAATGACCCATGTCCTTGTAAGAAGAGGGGATTTGGAACAGACGCCCAGGGAGAGGAGCAGGGACGGGGTGAGGAGGCCCCGGAAGCTGGAGAGCCAGAAGGGACCCTCCCTGGAGCCTCTGGGCGAGAGGCCCTGCCCACACCCTGATTTTGGACTTTTGGTCTCCAGACTATGACAGTTGAGTCACCAAGCTTGTTACAGTCGTCTTAGAAACCCAATACACCTAGATGCCCTGAGCGACACTGGTGGGTCACACCTGCGTCTGCACGTGCACTACCCCCGTCCCTGAGAGAGCGTCTGGGCACCGGTGTCCAAAGAGAGAAACCGCAGAGGCCCCCAGTCTCAGAGCAGGATCACGTGGGCCCGAACATGTCCACCCTCAGGTCTGGTGGGTTCCCAGATCATGGGGACCCCTAAAAATCGAGCCCTTTGTGAAAGAACCAATGCAGAAGGCAAGAATGTCTGCCAATGTCACTCAGGGGACAGAGTCACCTGTCCCTCCTCGAGGGGTGCACAGGAACACCCACACCCTCCGCCACGGACGGGCACCTCTGGCCCTCAAGTCTGGCCAATGGACTGCGGAGGGGCCTCCCTGGACCCCTTGCCAACCAGATCTGGGTGGGGGGGTGCCATTCTCTGCCTCCAGCCTCCCACCTACCTCTCCCTGCCCGACCCTGTCCCTGCTCCTCAGGAAGGATGGTACTGGAGCCCACTCTTCTGTCCGCTTGCCCCCAGTGCCTCCCAGGCTGGCTCACCCAGGGTCACTTGTCAGGAGGTCCTCCTGGTGCCCCCACGTCTGTCAACTTAAGGCCTCAGCATCTCACAGCGCTGGTTCCTGTCACTGCCCTATTCCACCTGCATGGGCCTCCTGCTTGGCCAGGTGGGGCCGCTGCCCAGCACCGCTGTGGATGCTCAGCCTGGCCTCACCCGTCCTGCCTGCAAACCTTCTGGGCTCCCCACGCCCAGAGCAAGGCCTCCTCCTGTAGCTGACCAGAACCGGCTGGGTCTCAGGGACCCTCGGGGCAAGTCCGGCCGCAGGGCTGCGCCAGGTGCTCTGACAGCCTTTGGCTTCAGTTACCGTTCTCATCACCTGTGACGCCCTTCTCCCGTCCCCACCTGGCCACTCCTCCCCCCTCAGAGCCGGCCCACTCCCCCTCCTGGTCTCTCCTGCCAGACCCCGGGTTTCATTTATGCCTGAGACCCACCGGGTCCAGGATGCGTCCACCCAGGGCTCACGGTGAGCGCATGGAAAGTAAAAACAATACATCGGAGGAGAGGGGTCTCGGAGGCAGCCCCAGGCGGCTGGCGACATAGGCAGCGATGCGGGGGGAGGGGGTGGTGGCTGAGGATCTGCTGGGAGACCCCCGGGGCGCCGCCAATACCGCCAGGCCCCAGTGGGTGGCCCGCGGCGGGACGCCGGCGTGGGGACTCGGGGAGCGCCCGGCGCCCGACACCTGCGGACGCGCCCCCGGCCTCACCTGCGAAGTTCTTGGTGAAGACCAGGGTGACCAGCAGGATGGGGACGAGCACGGTGCCGATGGTGACCACGCGGTCGAAGGGCAGCTCGAGCTTGAGCTGCAGGAGCAGCGCCGCCAGCGCGCCCGCCTTGTCGTCCTGCGCGCCGGGCAGGATCAGCTCGCGCAGCTTCTCTCCGGCCAGCAACGCTGTCGCCATGTCCGCGGACTGCTCCAGGAGATGGTGCATGGGGGGCGGGGGCGCGGCCCGGGGGCGCGGGCGGGGCCGCGGGGCGGTGTGGGAGGCCGTGGCTGGCACAGTAGCTCTC